GATTGTGGAACTCATTTTAATAATCAAATGATCAAAGAACTGATGGAAAAATTTAAGATTAAACATTTGTTATCAACACCGTATCATCTACAAACAAATGAATTAGTTGAAAGATTCAACCGTACTCTATGTAAATCTTTAGCAAAAACAGCACAAGATTTAGATAATTGGGATTTACAAATAGCACCAACTTTGTTTGCCTATCGTACAAGTAAACATTCAGTCACAAGATTATCTTCTTTCTTTGTAACATATGGAAGAAATGTAACACTACCTTTGGATGATCCTGATAATCTAAATGTTACAATGATATCACATTTACAAAATCTAGTTGATCAATCACCCCAAACTAGAAAGATTGCTAAAAATTGTATAACGATTGCACAACAAAAACAAAAGAATTGTCATAATGTACAAATTAAAAACTGTATCAATTTGAAATTGGAAATAAAGTTTTGTATTATGATGCAGTCAAGGACAAATAATGGTCAGGCAAATTAAACACAAAATGGAAGGAACTGTACTATATCTATCAAATCTTGATAAATGGATCTTATAAGTTGAGAGAATTAGATGGAAAAGTACTTCGTACTCCAGCAAATAGAAATCTTTTAAAACTATACCATGATAGGACAAATTGGGAACCTCAGATTGTTATATAAAGAGTAAGGTTCCTTTAAAAATTTCAACAGAAATTTTCACAATGACAACTCTTTATAATCAGATTAAAGAAGAATTGATGATTGTTGAAACTGTTAATAATTTCAACATTCCTCCACTCTACCTCACGAATGATTTAACAGAACAAAAAGTTAAAACTACATACAAAGCATTATTAAGAGCCTCTCAGTTGAAAAATAGAATGTTAACACTCGTCAACGCATTTTATTTGGGACAAATAATAGAAACTGAAACCTTAAGCCCTGCTGAACATACTCAATATAGGAATACGATGACCTTATATTATCGACAGGCTTCTAAACGAACCTTTTACCTCTTTAAAACATTGGGAGTAGAACAAATAGGATGTTCCAAGCAATTAACTCTTAGAATGATCTATAATTTGAAAGCCTAAGAATTTAAAGACTTAGTTGATGAAGCCTATGAAATTTTTGCAGAAGCTGCAAATTTAGAGGAGAAAAATTGATACTGGACCTCGTCAAAATTACTGCGCTATAAAGATCTACATTAATTAGCGTAATTAACTTTGACAACATTTACAACATTTTTAACATAGT